GTTTCGGGCATGATAAACTTAAATGACAAGCTTAATACTAATTGAGCATAATGAGTAGAATGAAAACAAGAAATGAAAACATAGATGAAAAAGCAGCACAAATACAATTATGTCGACAAACAGCGCTCTTTAAAGAAAAACATACATGGGTTGACAACAGAGGGGTAAGGTAGGTTACAGGGAATTTATTAGGTATAGCTTCGTTTTTAACTTAAACTGGTTGAGAGAGGTACAGTCTTTTGCTCGAGGAAAAGGCGTTTTAGAACTGTAGGAGGGGTAAAAGCTTTAGTGATACGAGTCAAGGACGTACAAAACCGCGGAAGAGGGACCCTCCACGGGGGCAAAGAAGGAACAACACGAGGAGAAACATCAGAAATACGAACGGAAAGAGAATCCTGCAGGCGAGATAACCGGACAGAAAGAGGGAGGTGGTGAAGAGGAACAGGAACCGCAGGAGGGGTAAAAGTTAAAGCACGACAGAGACGAGAGGAAGGATGTTGCAAGGACCGCGCAAGATAGCGAAGACAGTAGCGATCACGGCGGTCCTGGAGAGACAGGAAGCCAGTGTCAACATACAAGCTAAGGACGGGAGTCGAACGAAAGGCACCAGAACTGAGGCGCAACCCAGTATGGTGCAAAGCATCAAGACGGCGAAGAGTAGAAGGAGAAGCAGACGAGTAAGCAGGGCAACCATAATCGAGCTTAGACAGGACGAGAGAGGAATGTAAAGCAAGGAGAGTGCGCCTATCTGCCCCCCAAGAAGTATGGGACAAGACCCGAAGGAGGGTAAGGGACTTAGAGCACTCAACACGGAGGTAAGAGATATGGGGAGACCAAGACAAACGAGTGTCAAGGAATAACCCCAAAAGCTTCGCGGAATCTTTGTATTCAAGGGGATGACCATAAAGCGACAAAGAGGGACGAAGAACAACCCGTTTCCGCGTAAAAGTCATGGCACAAGTCTTAGAAGTAGAGAACTTGAAGCCATGACCTGTGGCCCAAGACGACACGGCATCAATCGCAAGTTGAAGCCGGCGTTGAAGGAGAGGCGAATCATCACCCTGACAACAAAGGGTAAGATCATCGACATAGAGAGCGGAGAAGACACCAGAAGGAAGAGAGGAAAGAAGACCATTGAGGGCAACCAGAAAAAGAGTAGTGCTCAGAACACTACCCTGGGGCACACCTTCGTATTGCTGAAAAGGGGGAGAGAGAGCGGTACCAAGGCGCACCCGAAAGGAACGACGAGAGAGGAAGCTGCGGAGAAAGAGAGGGAGATGACCACGAAGGCCAAAAGAATGAAGTTGAGATAGGATATGATAACGCCAAGTGGTGTCGTAAGCCTTTTCTAGGTCAAAAAGGACGGCAACAACGGAGGTCTTCGCAGCAAAAGCAGTACGTATATAGACCTCCAAGTTCACCAGGACATCTGTCGTGCTGCGGCACTTGCGGAAACCAAATTGAGAAGGGGAGAGGAGGTGATGGTGTTCCAGGAACCACATCAGACGAACGTTAACCATACGTTCAAAGAGTTTGCAGACACAACTTGTGAGAGCAATAGGGCGAAAGTCCTTAGGGGAAGTACCCAGAGACCCTGGTTTGCGAACAGGGAGGACAACGGCATCGAGCCAGTCCTCAGGGACTGACGACGACTCCCAGATCCGATTATACAGACTCAGTAAATACTGAGACGTGCTCGGAGGGAGATGGCGAAGCATCTCATAATGAATACCATCGGAGCCCGCCGCCGTAGAACCGCAGAGGGCCAGGGCAGAACGAAGTTCAGAGAGAGAGAAGGGATCATTATAGGGAAGCTGAAGATGAGTGCAGAAATCTAAAGGACGAGACTCAAGGACAGGTTTACGAAGAAGGAAAGATTGGGGAAGATGAAGACCAGAGCTAACAGAAGAAAAGTGGGAACCCAGTTCGGAAGCGACCTGCAACGGGTCCGCCACAAGAGTATCATGGAGGTGAAGGACCGGTGAAACATCGGGAACGAACTTACCCGCTATCTTGCGGATACGCTTCCAGATCTGGGCCAGAGGGGTTTCGGACGTAATTGTCGAGACATAAGATGCCCAACATTCACGTTTAGCCGTACGGATGGCCCTACGGGCCACCGCACTCGCTTTCCGAAAGAAAAGAAAAGAATCGGTCGTCTGCCTACGGCGGTGCTTCTTCCAGGCTGCACGCTTACAGCGGACAGCCCGAGCACAGTCCGCATTCCACCAGGGAACGCACTTCCGTGGACCCCGAGAGGAAGAGCGAGGAATAGAGCGGAGGGCAGCGTCGAAGACAGTGTCATGAAAAAGGAGGAGAGCGCGAGAGAGGGGCAGAAGGGAGAGGTCAGAGAGAGTAGCACTGAGGGAAAACAGGGTCCAGTCCGCCTTAGCAAACTGCCACCTAGGGAAAGAGAGGGAAGGGCGAAAAGAGAAAAAGGAAACAAGGATGGGGAAATGATCACTTCCATGGAGGTCATCAAGAACCTGCCATGTGAAATCTAAGTAAAGAGAAGAAGAGCAGAGAGAAAGATCAAGACAAGAAAGGGTGCGAGTTCGAGAGTCCAAATGAGTGGGCTCACCAGAATTCAGAAGAGACAGGGAAGAAGAGAGGAGAAACGGCTCAAGGAGGCGACCCCGGGTATTCGTCAGAACGTCACCCCAAAGAGAATGACGACAATTGAAGTCACCCAGCAGGAGCACAGGCTCCGGCAAGGAGTCTAGGAGGTGTTTCAAATCAGGAAGAGAGAGCGGGACACCCGGGGGGAGATAAATGGAACAAACTGTGTACCATTTCCCCACAAAGATACGAGCAGCAGAACAATGGAGAGGCGAAGGAAAAAGTAAAGGAACAAAGGGAACATCAGCCCGAATCAAGAGAGCAGAAGAATTAGAAGCCCCAGCAATGGCTGGGGGGGGGAGAGAAAGGAATAGCCACGAAAACGACCAGGACGAGCACCAAGCATCGGCTCCTGGAGACAGACACAAAGGGGCGAAAACCGCGAAACCAGAAGTTGGAGTTCGAGGAAATTGGCGTAATAACCTCGAACGTTCCATTGAAGAATGGACAACGACGAGAAGAGAAAGGACAAAAACAGAGAACAAGGAAGAAACAAAGGCGAAAGAGCAACAGAGCACGTTAAAGAATATCAGGGTCGGGATCAGGGTCAGCAAAGTCAGGGTTAGGGGGCATGGGTAAACTGAGCAAAGACGGAGGGAAGGAAACGGGAGAACAGATCAGAGGTGGGCGGGCAGGGTCCGGAGGAGGAGGAGGAGGAGGAGGAGGAGGAGACAACGGAGAGGAGCAGTCAAGGACAGCAGCAGGAAGAGGGGGAGTAGAAAGAGAGGAGCGCACCCCAGCAAGAGCAGCAACCGAAAGGGAAGCAGGGGCCAAAGAAACCTCCATAGCAGGAACAGGGGGCGCAAGCACTGAAACGGGAGTGGAAGGAGCAAACAGAGCCAGAAGGAGGAGCTGAGGAAGAAAGCGAAGCCTTCTTACCCGCCGGGGAAGAGGAAGGAGAGGAGCCAGGCTTACGCTTCTGACTTAAAGAGACGGTGTCCCAGCAACTACGTACCGGGCAACGGATTCCAGTGTCTCAACAGGAGAAGCCGAACGAGAGCACACACGACGGCCGTTAGGAGAGCGATGGACATCCGCCCGCACCGACAGGCGGCGGGGAGAGCCGATAGATGGAGGAAGAGGATGGGAAGGAGGATCGGAGGGGGACGAGGAAGGAGACACAGAAGACACGACAGACCGGGTAGAAGGAAGGGGAACCCCAGACAGAGGACCAGGAGGAGGATCCTTCGGGAGAGAACCCAAAGGGACAGAGGAGGGGGTAGTGGGCGCATCAGGGTCCAAGGCCTGGAAACGGTTGTGAGTCTGAGGAAGGCGGGAAGGACGAGGAGAGGAAGAGCGCAACACGCGAGCATAAGAGATATTAGCATAAGGCGGGAGCTGGCGAACCTGGCGCCTCGCCTCAGGAAAAGATAAACGCTCCCGGTGCTTCAAGTTGAGGACGGCTGCCTCAAGCTTGTAATGGACACACGCACGGGAGAAGGCAGGATGGGCCTCACCGCAGTTGAGGCAACGAGCCTGGGGAGAAGCGCACTCCGACTTAGAGTGACCTTCGCCACCACACAAAGGACAGAGAGAGACAGTCCCGGAGCAGCGGAGGGCACCATGCCCAAACCTCCAGCACTTGTTGCAGAGCCGAGGAGAAGGAATGTACTCCTGGACAGAGCACCTGACACCAGCAAGAATGACAGAGGGTGGAAGGGTCCTACCATCAAAGGTAATCTTCACAACCCGGAGGGTTGACGGCGACTACCACGAGGGGGACGAGTAAACGTGTCCACCTGGAGAATAGAATGGCCCTGGGCAGCGAGGATATGTCGAATATCGTCGTGGCAGTCGCGTAGGTCCCGAACACCGGTCGCAACATGGGGCGGGAGCAAAACAGTGCCAACACTGGCATTCAACTGGACGTTCTTCGAGACCCGAACGGGGGTCTCGCCAAGGCAGGATAAGGCAGCCAAGCGGGAAGCAGCATCCTGAGAAGGAGCAGCAACGACACGCGTACCGAGACGAGTGGGGTTAAAAGTAATGGAGGCATCCACGGAATCAATGAGATGTCGATGAAGGGAGAAATCGTCAGGAGGCGCAGAATCAAGAGGGAGGAGATCAAAAATATTTGGCCCACGAAGCGGGACCAAACAAGGCTTGATAGGTAGCAGAACTGGAACATGGTTGGGAAGGTCATTCCACATTCTGGGCCCCTTGATTTGTAGAGCATTTCTAGTTTGATTAAGTCGTACTCTAGGAATATCAAAACTGTATTTATTTCTGGTGTGGTGCTCATGGGTTCTGTTACAACCTTCTATGAAGCTTTAGAGATCAGGATTGGCATTATAGTTTAGCGTTTTATATATGTATAATACACATGAGAGAATGTGCAGTGACTTAATGTCTAACATATTCAGAGATTTGAGTAGGGGTACCGAGTGATGTCTGGGGTCAGAATTGGATATTGTCCTAATAGCAGCTTTGTGTTGAGTAAGCAGGGAGTTGAACAGGGATTGTACACCCAAGTAGGGGCGCTGTGCACGATGTCGTAAGACTGGTCATCGCTGGAGCCCGCCCTCACAGGGACCAATCCTGTAAGGCTGGCCTCAGGGCGGGTGTGGGAAGTGGGAAGCCGCCTACACCGAGGCCGACTCCCCAGGGTCGACCCCGTGTCCGTCATTGTCGCTGCGGCCCGCCCCACAGCGGTGAGGGTGTCGACTTCATGGGTGCAGTAGTCTGCCCTCAGGCTCCATCCCTTTTCCTCGTTCATCTATGGTGTACCTTGTGCGCCTTCCATAGTCGGTTCTGGAAGTATTAAAGCAGTAAGGGTGTGCTGAAGCGGGCATGCAGTAGGAACGTGACGGGCAAGGAACCTACCCCTTAAGGGTACTGCTGGAATTAGTTTGTAAGAGGGGGGGGGGGGACATTTTCGGAAGCGAACTGGGCAAGTGTCATTAATGGATAAAGTCAGGAAGATACCCCGAGGAAAACTCTGAAAAGGAACACTGACACAGAGGATAGGAGTCTCTAGAGCAAACTCACAGGGGAAAGGAAGAGAATAACATCTTCCAGGAAACTAGACTGTAGCGAAGGTAACTATCAAACCGACAGAACTTTAGCGGGAAAAACCCAGACATGTGAAGAAAAGGGGGGGGGGGGGTGACGGGTAACCAGTTACCGTATCTGAGGCAAAGGCAGAAGATGATCCAGGGGGGGGGGGGTAATCTAGCAAGTAATAACTCATTTCAAATATAATCAAATATAATAATATAAAACAATAGAACAGCCCAACATAATCAATATTTATATGACCAATATATATATAATATCAAATTCATATATAAATAAAACAATAAACCAAATATAAGAAACAGGTCTTAAGGCGTTACTGCAACATGCTTGCGTCCAGAGCGACACGAACACAACAAGTTATAAGGATGGTAACCGAGTCCGTTACAGTGATCTCCATCGTATGTTGGCCTCCGGATGCATGCTAGAGCTGAATAGTTAGCCTAAGAAACTGCCTTAAGAGGCGCCGATGAGTTCAGTCTTGGAGTGTCAATGACCATTCTGAGAGCAGCAGTACCCCAAGAACTTCAACAAGATCTGGTGATATGAGGCAAGGTGAAATGGTCACCAGTAAGGCTAGGGATCCGTATATGTAAAATAATTATGTAATTAATATAATAATATAGTAAAATTAACAGATAATGTCGAAAGTGCCACGTAGAAGTGGTCGAAAATAGTAAACTAACTCCCAGACCCATAATAAATTAATGCTGAACGAGAAGGGAATAATAAAATAAATAGCAATACTCTAAATTAGTATAGGAAATAATTAATATAGATATATATAGCACAAATAACTTGGGCCCCGGGCTGCTGCATCCAGGCGCGGCTGCGTTGTTGACCCCGTGACGCCGCCGCCAGAGTCCTCAGTCTTCCTTGAATACTCCCCCCCCCCATACTAGGAGCTGGGGCTGAGAACCCGTTACTGGACGAGCCCTTCGTAGAGGCAGGCACGATGAGCGGCGGTGAGCAGGCCAAAACGGTTTTAGAATACATTAAGAGAAAACGTAACAAAGATAACGACAATGGGCCACAGATTAGGGTTTTTAAAATAGACAAATTTAATACATGAAATACGCAATAATCCAGTACTATGAACTCACAAAGTTATTACCAAATAATGCAAAACTTGGGAGCTGGGAAGCCAATGCCGTATAATAGTTCAACTCTATATAAAAATAAAATAAAATACTGGACTGTAACCGTGATATAAATTTACAACAATTTAGTACATAATAAATAACGACAATAAGCCACAGGGAAAAAGTGCGGATACTAAGTAGAAAGTTGAACTGAAACAGTCTAAGTGCAAAGATAGGACTGGATAATAACTGGAGAGCAGGATTACTATTTATAAGCAATAAATAGTACATTACAAATATAACGTGAAGGTTCCACTAAGAAGAGTGTAAAAGAGAGACATAAGCACTAGAAGGATAAGCGCAAATACTCCTTCCAAAATACTAGGTCGCACGACCATTAGCCCGCTAACAGGGTAGGGTGGGCCCGCCCAGCTAAGGGCTCCACAGGGGTCCCGGCTAAGGGCGTAACGGACTGGCCCAGCTAAGGGGCCTAGGTCAGGGCCGTCCGAGGGCATGACTGACGTGCCCAGGTAAGGCCCGGGACTACGGATGCCTTGACTAAGGAAAAGGCAGGACTGCAAAAAGTGCCCCACAAAAGGGGGGGTATGGCAGTAAAGAAAATGAAAGTAATAATATAATATGAGAAGTAACGCCGCCAGCATAGTGCTCGTTACCCTAAAGGCCAAAGACCGTTATGCTAAATAAGCATAAACAATAACAGAGCCGTAATCCAAAGAAAACGATAACAAGTAAAGCAGAGGAAGGGTAGAAGTAAGGCAACTAAAACCCGAACCTACTAATAAAGAACTTAAATTAGTAATAGTATGATACAGTAGGAACAACATTCATGGCGTTAGGCGAGGCCAGAAGCCAAAAGGGGAATTGACATGAGATCATTAACACTAAAAGTGACTATAACTAACATCAATAGCAAATAGTAACAAGTGGAGAATAACCCGGCCAACTCCACCGATGAAACCGAAGACCATACGCCAAGTAGGCTTAGGAACAATAATATAGTAGCAGAAAAACCCAGAATAAACTCAATAATTACAAATAATAGCAGAGGGGGGGGGAAGAGAGGTAACCATAAACCTGAACTGTATAGAACAAAACTTAAATAAATATAGATAATGTAATAAATAATATATTGCCACCAGTCAACATGAAAAGCAGCTAGGAGTCGTCTGGGGTTCGTCCTGACGCCAACTGGAGATCATCTTGTAATCATCCTGGAACAGGAAGGCACCAACAAGGAGGCATCGTGCAGACATCCAGAAGTCGTCTTGTAGACAACACTAAGTCACCTTGCAGGTGATCGCAGACATTCACTACTACAGGAAGACCTGGACAAACTGGAGGAAAGGTCTAGAAAAGGCTGCTAAAGTTCAACTCAGGAAAGTGTAGGGTAAAGAAAATAGGCGAAGGCTGCAATTCACAAGGCAAGACAAGAAATATGAGTTAGAATTAACTATATGAATATAGTAAATAACATCAACGGCGCACAAGGAGAACCGCAGCAGAAGTAGTGTGTCCAACTGTAAGCAACTGTGCTCAAAGTAAGACTGGATTAAACTGTCTATTAAGAATAGCCGAAATTAAACAAGAAAAAGTGTAATAAACCAATACTATTATATTGCAAAGTTAATACAGCACAAAGCTTAGGCTGGGAAGGCCAAAGCCGCAAGATAATTGTGCTCGTAATAAAGAAAACTGGCGTTAACGGTAATAATATGACTGGCGTTAACGGTAATAATATGACTGGCGTTAACGGTAATAATATGACTGGCGTTAACGGTAATAATATGACTGGCGTTAACCGTAATAATATGACTGGCGTTAACCGTAATAATATGACTGGCGTTAACCGTAATAATATGACTGGCGTTAACGGTAATAATATGACTGGCGTTAACCGTAATAATATGACTGGCGTTAACGGTAATAATATGACTGGCGTTAACGGTAATAATATGACTGGCGTTAACGGTAATAATATGACTGGCGTTAACGGTAATAATATGACTGGCGTTAACCGTAATAATATGACTGGCGTTAACCGTAATAATATGACTGGCGTTAACCGTAATAATATGACTGGCGTTAACGGTAATAATATGACTGGCGTTAACGGTATTAATATGACTGGCGTTAACGGTATTAATATGACTGGCGTTAACCGAAATAATATGACTGGCGTTAACCGTAATAATATGACTGGCGTTACCGGTATTAATATGACTGGCGTTAACCGTAATAATATGACTGGCGTTAACCGTAATAATATGACTGGCGTTAACCGTAATAATATGACTGGCGTTACCGGTATTAATATGACTGGCGTTAACCGTAATAATATGACTGGCGTTAACCGTAATAATATGACTGGCGTTAACCGTAATAATATGACTGGCGTTAACCGTAATAATATGACTGGCGTTAACCGTAATAATATGACTGGCGTTAACCGTTAACGGTAATAATATGACTGGCGTTAACCGTAATAATATGACTGGCGTTAACCGTAATAATATGACTGGCGTTATGACCGTAACCGTAATAATATGACTGGCGTTAACCGTAATAATATGACTGGCGTTAACCGTAATAATATGACTGGCGTTAACCGTAATAATATGACTGGCGTTAACCGTAATAATATGACTGGCGTTAACCGTAATAATATGACTGGCGTTAACCGTAATAATATGACTGGCGTTAACCGTAATAATATGACTGGCGTTAACCGTAATAATATGACTGGCGTTAACCGTAATAATATGACTGGCGTTAACCGTAATAATATGACTGGCGTTAACCGTAATAATATGACTGGCGTTAACCGTAATAATATGACTGGCGTTAACCGTAATAATATGACTGGCGTTAACCGTAATAATATGACTGGCGTTAACCGTAATAATATGACTGGCGTTAACCGTAATAATATGACTGGCGTTAACCGTAATAATATGACTGGCGTTAACCGTAATAATATGAGCAGTATTAATAATACCAGATAAAAACAAAATCCAGGGACTGACATTAATTGATAAATCCAAGACGTGAAACGTTAAATTGTTAAATAATAAATTTAAAACCATCACCGAACAGGGGCGAACTGGAAATGACAAGAGTAAGGTCAAGCACAACATAGAAATCAATGAATAAATACATGAATAAGTAAACGTCCCACACTGGGAGGAGGAAGTAAGCAGGTAAACCCTAACATTAACATTAAACCAACATTAACGTGGCATGTATAACAATCACCAGTGGTCAAAAAGGGGGCAAAATAAGGAACTTAACATGAACAACCGTTGCCAAATGTACACTGCAAAATCCTGCCCCAGAACATCAGCAGCCGGAACACCGCAGCTGGATCACCTGCAGCTGGAACACCTGCAGTTGGACGTCACAACTGGAGCATCAATATCTGCTGAAGATAAATAAATAGTGGCAACTGGGCACCAGGGAAACCTTCAGTGATAAGTAGAAGTCTCACTTCAAGTCAATTAGGGACCATTAGAACCTGGGAACTAACGTTAAGGGGAACGCCGGGAACGAACTAAAGCTAAAGCTGAAGCTTTTCCCTGCCAAAAGGGCTAGGATGTCAGCAGCTGGAAACAACAAAACAGCAACAGCTGTAACGCCGACGGCTGGGACAGTGACAGCTATAACAACAGCAGCTGGCACCTCAGCAGCTGCCGAAGATACGAAATTAGCAGCAGTGGGCCAAGGGGAAACTGCAGTAGTAAGGAAAGTGCGACTGCAAAACAAATTATGCTCATAATAATGCTAGAATATAACTCGCTAGAGAAAACGGGATTAATACATGAAGCTGAAAATAATATACAATCAAATACAATAAACTGAAAAGGAATGGATAATATGCACAACGTCAGCTGTGACGCTTCAGCTGGAACCCCGTCCCCTGGAACTTCGGGGGCTGGAACGTGAGCATCTGGAACCTCGAGAGCTGAAACGCCGTAGCATGGACATGAACAGATGGGACAGCATCAACTGGAACATCAGGAACAACTTCAGCCGGAGCATGGGAGCTGGTCCAACAACCGCTGAAACGTCGGCGGCTGGACCGTGTTCCACCTGAACAGCAGCACGCTGGAACAGCAACAGCTGTACCCACAGCAGCTAGAACACCGACTTCCGGGAACGTCAGCAGCTGGAACACCAACAGCCGCAGCGGCTGGACACCAAAACTGAGCAACAACGTAGTAAGAGAGCGGCGGCTCGGACACTAGGGCAGACAGCTGGACTGGCTGCAACAGCCCCAACCGAGCATCAGCCGCTAGAACACAGGAGACAGGGACATCTGAATAACATCGTCGGCTTAACTCATCACAGGAAGAACGTCGGCTTAACTCGTCACAGGAAGAACGTCGGCTTAATTCATCACAGGAAGAACGTCGGCTGGACATCAACCCCTGAACGAAGGCAGCTAAGACGGCAGCGGCTATGAGAACCTTCCGGGCTACACCGGGCAGACAACACGTCTGGATAAACCAGCGGCCTGGGAAGCCGCAGTACCTTCCGGGCTACACCGGGCAGACAACACGTCTGGATAAACCAGCGGCCTGGGAAGCCGCAGTTTCTTCCGCACACACCGGGAACTGGTGGCCCAGCCAAGGGCGTAGAAACTGAAGTTGGCCTAAGCAAGGGCATAGAACTGAAGGGGGCCCCAGCCTGGGGCATAATAAACCGAAATGGGCCCAGCCTGCTGGCCAAAACGGCAGTGGCCCCGTCATGGGGCATAAACAACTAAAGTGGCCCTATTCTAGGGCATAATAAACAGAAGTGGCCCCGTCCTGGGCATAAGAAACTGAAGTGGCCCCGTCCTGGGGCATAAGAAACTGAAGTGGCCCCATCCTGGGGCATAAGAAACTGAAGTGGTCCCGTCCTGAGGCATAAGAAACTGAAGTAGCCCCGTCCTGGGGCATAAGAAACTGAAGTGGCCCCGTCCTGGGGCATAAGAAACTGAAGTGGCCCCGTCCTGAGGCATAAGAAACTGAAGTGGTCCCGTCCTGAGGCATAAGAAACTGAAGTGGCCCCGATCTGGGGCATAAGAAACTGAAGTGGCCCCTTCCTGGGGCATAAGAAACTGAAGTGGCCCCATCCTGGGGCATAAGAAACTGAAGTGGCCCCTTCCTGGGGCATAAGAAACTGAAGTGGCCCCATCCTGGGGCATAAGAAACTGAAGTGGCCCTGTCCTGGGGCATAAGAAACTGAAGTGGCCCCGTCCTGGGGCATAAGAAACTGAAGTGGGCCCCTTCCTGGGGCATAAGAAACTGAAGTGGCCCCTGGGGCATAAGAAACTGAAGTCCTGGGGCATAAGAAACTGAAGTGGCCCCGATCTGGGGCATAAGAAACTGAAGTGGCCCCGATCTGGGGCCTGAAGTGGCCCCGATCTGGGGCATAAGAAACTGAAGTGGCCCCGATCTGGGGCATAAGAAACTGAAGTGGCCCCGATCTGGGGCATAAGAAACTGAAGTGGCCCCGATCTGGGGCATAAGAAACTGAAGTGGCGCCTGTGGGATATTTGGGGCTTGAATCTGATTATTTAAATATTAATGTAGTAAATTAAATTACGAAGGACCACCCGCTTTTATAGTAAAGAGGGAAACTGAGAATTTCTGATCATTAGATAATTTCTAGATGAACCAGTAACTATGGATAAAATACTAGAGAATATGATCATAGAAATAATTAATGGGCTGTATAATTAAATAAATCAAACCCTCAAACACCTACATTGGGGGGTTATTACTGGAGGTAAGTACGTCCAGGAACTAGTGTGGTTCGTTCACTAATTCAAATAATAATAATCTAATCCTATGAATTATAGTGAAACTAATGTCATTACCATACATGGAAACATAGATTATAAGTATAGTAATGAGAGTCACAATAAAAACACATCAATCCTAAGAAATTCTGCATATAAGCAATTACAATAAATTCATGAAAGAATATAAAGAATCTTAGCTTAAAGACGATTTCTTTATGTAAGCCACGACGTTTCCTCTAATTCTCTGGACTCGGCTGGCTGACGAATGGGATGGATTAACATGGGAGAAGGCGGCAGGGAGAATTCTTCTCACGTGCTGCAAGACAAATATTTACAGTAGCAACTAACTACTGAATCTCTATATTCAAGAAATTGAGAGTTGCAGGTGACAAAATTTAATCACCTGTTATTAGATGTTATCGTGCGTCGTAACGGACAATCACCCAGCTACTACAAAACACTTTAAAAGATGCATCCAATAAAGGGAATATACTTATCTGATAAGGGCACTGTATAAGTTTTAAGATTGCCGAAATCGCGTCCCCAGGCTCTGGCTAGGCCTATCCTGGATCGTGGCGCGCTTCACTGGCCGGTCACGTGTAGTCCAGAACCAAGTTAAGTAGGTTCCTTATATGACACCAGCACCAGTAGAAGATATTATCTGCAAGGTTATTCACGCCTCACAGTGGCGACTTTCATCTGAGGATGGATAACGTCTACCCTAATGGCTGGGCAATGGCGTCTCCTTGTGAGTACGGTATGCGCAGGTCTGCCTCTGAGCGGCTCTCCACGTGTACTGCTAAACTTCCCCTACCCAAGCCGCGTCCCGCATTCATAAAATAAATTATTTTCACGAACAATAATATTTCTCGCATTTACGCTTGAAATGTTGAAGACTGGACGGGTTTATTATTTAGAAGAGGGAAATATTATTATTAGCCAATTTGGAGATGGTAAACATATAAGGGAGAGGAATTAATGTCTCCCCATGGCATTCACTGGTGACGTTAACTTTTATTACTAGATAATCGCTATGACTCCGACGCTCTATTCGGCTTTTAGTTGGAGGCTAAATCATCGGTAATTAGTTATCATACAGAATGCCTCAGTTATGGAGAATCGAATTTAATTCTCACATACATTGGATATAATGTGTTTATTGTAATGAAATCTGACGCAATACTGGCGTCGGGTGACGTGAGAATTCTAGCCTACTGCACAGATGAAATTATTAGTACATGAGAATTCTACGTGTTGTTAATTTTACTTACTACAATAATTAATATAGTTAGTAATAAGTAATGAGAATACAACAGTGTTGTATTCGGTGTTGGAAATATCCAACATAACTCCGGGGGGAGGATTCTAGGGTCGTAGTGTACTGTGGTGTACTGACCTATCCCGAAGTGATATTAAGATTAGTACATTAGTATGTTAATATGTTAGTATGTTAGTACACACCTAACGAACGTCCCGGATTTATCAAGGACTTACAAGAACTTGAGTCTTGCTATTTACATGTCAAATGAAACATGTTGCTTATAGCCTACACAATATTTATAGTATTTAACTCACCCAATTTAAACTAACAGAATCTACGGTGATGCGATATCCTGGGTCATAGTGACGTGTAATGTTTTGTTACGTGATATCACATCG